CCACCTGTCCACCATTTTCGACACCACGCACAAGTACCAAAAAAAATGCGCGTCAGAGACTCCAGGTACCTTGACCTTTGTTAAGCTTCAACCTGCGCGTGTGCACCGTCTCAGCTCCCTCTTTAAGCCTGGCCCTTATTTTGAAGCAATGGCTCGCAACCCTTGGCATGGCTTGGTCAATGGACTCATTGGGGAAAAATTCATACTGTGGAACTGTGCGCAGATAGTCCCCTATTTCCTGCAACAGTCTGTCCGTGAGGACACGCGCCATGCACTTTCCTCCTGGATCCTGTGTGCCAAGTGGCCTGAGGTCTTTGGGCCTTTTAATTAATTTACCTGGTTTTGGAATGAGGGCAAGGTGACTATCGGCCCATGTTGGGGGGATACCACAGCAATCCCTGACCCCAGTGTGAATTGGCAAGGGTGCACATCCTCTCCGATAGCACTCCTGAACAGGTCTTCCAAACTGCGACTGGCACGCTGTCACGTGGAACAGACTTACCATTTTGTGATTTCTGTATGACATTTTGAAACTCTTCCGCCTGGATGCAAAGAGGATCAAAGTAGGAGGACCGAAGTCACCTACTCCAAAGACCTGCTCACAATGTGCAGTGATCTCTGCCATCTCCTCAACTTCATTGAGGATCTTGCCATCAGCTGAGCGTATTTGAACCTTTTCATGTCTGCGACTGGGGGCAATCTCACGTGTGGCCTTATACAACTCACCTGGCAAGTTACTTTTCGCAGCAGTTTCGGCTTTGCAAAGCTTATTGAGCAGGATTTCCTTTCGCAAGCTCTTACCTCTGCTCCTTAGCGTCTTGTGAGCCTGCATAAAGAGAGCATATGCACGCCATGCCCTAATGCATCTGCCAAACACATGTAAGCCTAAAGTCTGCCCCTTCCACGGGCTCGGAACAAGGCCCTACTGCTCGCTTTGGCGCTGCAATGCGCTCTCCAAGCTGAAAAGCAAGTCTGAAAGAAACTCCTGCCAGGCAGACGCGTGCTGGCTGTTCCACATTTCCGCCAAGCAAACCTTAATCTCTTCAGACTGCCATGCTCTTGGTGTGTTGTTGCGCTGTGTGTGCCTGTGCGGAAACATGTCAGCACAAACCGACAGGAGAGCTTGGTTTATCTCTCCTGGATCTGCTTGCATCGGAAGAAAACCAAGCTTCTGCTCAACCCGGACCTGAAAGGTTCTGGCAACATCACCTCCTGCTGCAAGCGCGGTTTCAAGTGCTGTCTTGTCATAAAGCTTTGTGTTAGGGGGTCTACGCCGTCCCGACTTCCAGTCTCCTCTAAAGGGAACACTACCATATACTGGCCTGTGCTTTGCACCATGTCTCCAGGGAACCAAGTCCAAATCCAGGGGCGCTGCCTGTCTGCTCCATAAGTGGTGCGCTTGGCGGCGAGGAAATCAATCTGAGCGCAAACATCGTGTCCACTGTACGTTCCGGCAACTGATTTCTTAGAGTCTTAGAGCTCTTCCATGTGTTCAGCAAGCAAAGGTCATGGACCGCATTAGAGCTCTTCCATGTGTTCAGCAAGCAAAGGTCATGGACCGCAACAAGCTCCATAAGCTCATCAACATCCGTCTGTGCTGGATTTACAACCGGCAAGACACCCTTCCCAACCAGTGCTTGTTTGGGGACCACAGGGGTATTTGCATTCGCACCCCAGAATGAGAAGCTTTCTACGAGGTAGCTGCGAAAGTAGTCTCCCAGCTGAGAGCTAGACCCTGTGTCGTCGCTGCTCGGTCAGTGTCACGTTTCGCGTGTTCCATGCCCACTGATACACGCCAACCACATCAATGCAAAAATCACTTCGCTGACAACGTACATGCATGAGTCTGCCAGGCACAATGGTAGCAAGTCTGAGATCTCTAGATTCAGACAATGCCTTGGAGATACATACCGCGACGCCAGAAAACCTGTTGTTAGCATCAACACATGTCACAATGCTCCAGTCACCAATCTGAAAACAGGAATCATTCTTGCCCAATCCCCAATGTATCTCCTGCAATATGATCACCTCCGCCAGCTGTTGAGTCTGTAACCAGTTTGAAAAGGCATCGTAGCAGTCTGTTGACATGCCCCCCAGGTTATAACTGATAAAACGAATTCTGTCCTTGCAATCGGAGTGACCTGCCTGGTGGCTTGGCCGGTTCCGCCGGGGCGCTGTATCATGCACAGGCTGCGCTGGGTATACGAGGCAGTTGTAAACCAGCGTCCTTTGTACCAAGTACCACCCAGTCCACTCCTCTGTGCTCTGCCGCACGCTCTTCTAAAGGCACGCTTCCTTCCAGTATTCTTAGAATGCCGGGAAAGGTCATTATCAGTGGGATTTAAACCATGAAGTTTCGCCCCATCCAAATATTGGATGTGGCTCCCAATCTGCTCATGGTGCACAGATCAACCCTCGGCTCCGCATGCCCTCTGTACAGGCTTGCTCTTGCATCGCTTGAGGCATGCCCCGGGATTTGGGACCCGGGAAACTCCATGTAAACAATACAATCCAGCTTGCGGGGCAAAATCTTGTCAGGTTCAAGACAGCAGCTCTCCAATAAAATGTGAATCACAGTTGCAGTGAGCAGCCAACAAAAGCCAGTCAAAGAAACCATGGCATGCTACCGTTTCCTACCCGCAGCTAATTGCACTTGAGCCCAGAGCCTTCTGTTTGGGGAATGGGGGCAAACTTGCCTGCTAAAGGATCTAGGCGGGCTTGTTTTGTTGGTTCTTTAATGGTCTTATAGGCTCGTAAAGCCTCAGGATCGGCTTTGAGCTTTTGAGCTAACTGGGGGTCTAAATCCCCCCACCCAATCTCCTCTTCTGTTTTGATACTGAGGTGGGAGCGCAACCCTGCAACACCTGATGAGATAGAAGCTGCGGATTTGGCCTGATTACTAGCTAACAAGGAGTCATATTTCGTGCGATCCACTGCCGTAGTTGCTGTACTAGTGACTAAGCAAAAAGTACCATCTGTCATAGCTTGGAGGCGCAAATCGGGTCCTAAAAAGTGTTCAACCTTTAACAAAGTGCCAGCGAGGTCCGGTTGCTGCTGTACTTCAGGGAGAGGTACGTCAGTCGGCACGGCATCAGAAGCCATGCCAGGCGCCGCTGTTTGGTCGGCACCGGCCATAGCGTAAGTAGTTTCTTACTGTAAGTACCAAGCGCGCAACTTGCAAAACAATGGCCGACTGGCAAAATAACAAAGCAGATAGAAGTGCTGAAAGTGCTTGCTTTGATTGTAAGGCGAGCGGGGCTCCCTCAGTGGCGAGGGACAGTCTGTGCTCGAGCCTTGCAGCAGGGATAGTAATGGTGGACAACAAGAACATTGGATTTGATGATTTTCCGAATTTTTCGAATTTGAAGCACAATCTTTAGAGGGTTTACTCAAAGTCAATGTAGTAAGGGTGTTTGCAAGCAAGAAGCTGAGGACTTTTGATCTCCCTTCAATCTGAAGCATATTCGGTAATAGGCTTATGTAAGAGGATATGTCAAGAAAGGTAACCGTCATAATTTCTACGCACAAGGGTACATGCCAGCCAATAGTTTTGCTATCGATCTTGGGGATTCTTGCACAACAACCACCGCCTAGACTAAATGAAGCAAACGGCTCAAGGCAACAGGATGCAACGAGAGCAGATTGGCGCTTCCGATTCAGGCAATCGATTTTGCCTGGATCATGGCCTCCCCATTGCAAGTCGGGGACACCTGGACCTCAAAGCATAGCATATATATATATATACATATATGCTACCCCCCCCTCAAAATCTACCTTTTATTAGAAAATCATAGCCTGCGCACTAGACTTGACTGATTTTCTACCCTTTTTCTATGGGATGTATCCTATAGAGTGTAGCATTGCGCTATGTTACCCTTTCCTAAACTCCGAATTTTCCATAGTAT